CTGCCTCCCTTCGGCATTATTGGCAAGAGCACGAGCAGGAGCTGCAGCTGCAGCCCCTGCCTCCCTTCGGCATTATTGGCAAGAGCACGAGCAGGGCTGCAGCCCCTGCCTCCCTTCGACATTATTGGCAAGAGCATCCTCCTGGACTGCTCGCCCGAGTCAGGAGGCACCCGTGATAGTACATAGGAGCTTCAGGCACTGAACGGGTAGGCAGTTGGAGAGTAGGATGGTAGTCTTCAGTTTCGGCCGCAGCACTCAGGAGGAGCGCTGCAGTAGTCTTCAGCGCTAGGCAGTAGTAGTAGCGCTAGCTGTAGTCTTCGKCGCTGGGCGCCATAGCTGTAGTTGTAGTCTTCAGCACTGGGCGCTGGTAGGTGGTAGATCGTAGAGTGGGAGAGATACTGGCGGAGGCCAGTGATACTTACCTGTGGCGCCATCGCTCCAGCTCCATCTTCGAGGTACCTGCATCAAGGCGCCAACTTCACAGGTTAGTACTGGGACACAGAGGGAGAGAGAGTTCTTCTTCTTCCTCTTCTAAGTCCACCATCTCTTCTCACCCTCTCGCCACCTGACTTCTCAGACTATGACAGAGAGAAAGAGTTGTGACTTGAGACTTGACGACATTGGATTCAGACTCGACATTGGGATTCAGACATTTTGACGAGGGACTATTTGGGCCTGTGCTGAACACTTGGTGTTGACGACATTCCCATCTTCCTTTCTTCTTCGTCTAACCCCACCTCCTTCGTCTGTGTATGGTTGGGGCTGGCGCAGTCTTCTTGTGTGAAGCGCCAGACCCCTTCACACCATGATGATGGTGATGTATGTTCGGGGCTGCATTGCAATGTAGATTGTTCGGATCATTGGTATTTAAGTCTTCCACTGTGCTATCTCATACTTTGTATTGAAAGGTCGGTTCTTGTTCTGGTCTGCACCTATACGGTATGCAACATTGTTGCTGCTGAGTTAGATTTTGGTATTTCAGTCTTCCACTGCGCTATTTTTGTATTGTCTCGGAGAGGTTGGTTCTTGGTCTGCTCAATGCCGTTAGGCATGCGACACAGGAAGTAGTAAGAAAAAAGCACGAAAAAGGAGACAAAAAAGGAGGAAACACCTACATAAAACTGACTCTGTGTGTGTGTGTGTGTGTGTGTGTGTGTGTGTGTGTGTGGAGAGAGAGAGAGAGAGCGAGAGAGG